GACCAGCCACCCCTCGGAGACCCCCTTGGGCATGCCCTCCTGCCCCCGCTGCTGCCCAGGCCGGGGCAGGGAGGGAACCCTCCTTTCCCAGGATTTGGCATCGTTCTGGCTTCTGTTGCTAAATATTTTTGTAATGCCGTAGCGGTACGTAAACAGTCAAGCGCTTTATCTCGGGAAGGAGTAGTAGAGGAAAGGGAGAGCGTGTCTCTGGGGGGGCATAATGAATGCTTCCCGAAGAAACAGGCGCTGGAGTCCGTGTGGTGGAACCGGGATCTCGCAGGGATATCGCCATGGGAGGGAAGGTGACAGGTGGTTTGTGTGGATGTGAGCTTCGCAGCGCGGAAGAGCAGCCTCTCAAAGGTGCGTCCGGATTAGGACCGGGTGTAGTCCCCTACGCCCATTGTGGCTCCAAGGCGCTGTTGTGTCCCACTGGGATTTTCAGTCCCACTGGGTGGTTTTGCTCCCAGTTTGAAACGAAGACGAGCCCAGTGAGTCCCTGCCCGCGGAGCGCGGTTCCAGGGCGCGGTGACGGGGATGGCTGCCAGCGTGAAGCGCAGTCGCGGCACAGCCGGGCCACCTGTTAGAGCACGCTGACGGGACAGCGGAAAATACCCCCACAGCGGCTGCCTGCGCCTTCCTCGCCACAGGCTCCTGATGGGAATTTTACCGTCGTTCTCGAAACTTATCCATTCAGGTAAAACGCCGTGGAGAGGCGCGGTTTTGCCAAGACTTTGGTGCTGGGGACATCTCCTTGGCACAGCAAGCCGGCAGCTTTGCATCTGGTTGTTCCACTGGGTTTGCCTTTTGGGTTTCTAAAGAGGCCGCCGAGCTCTGTGGCTCTGGAGGCTGTCCCTGTGCATGGCGTGCAGCCACAGCGGTGCTGGCAGGGACAATGTCTGCGCTGAGGGGGACGTCTGCTTCCTTCGTGCTCAGTGGTGGTCGTGGCTGATGGCAACGGCAGAGGAGACAACGGAGAAAATGTCTGCTCCGTGATGCTCTGCTGAGTGCGACAGCGTTGTGATACCCTAGGACACGTGGCAGCTTGAAACGGCTTCTCTTAGGCTGCTGTTTCAGTGTTTTCTGGTGGAAAACCATTTCTCTTGCCACCGGGAGCTGCCAGGTAACCTCTGCTTTTGACCGACCTGTTTGATTCCTGTGATGCCGATGCCCGACCGTGCCCTGTGCACAGCCCGGGGATTTGGCAGCGTGTGGTGAGGGCTGTGGAGGTGCTGGGTGTGGCGGGAGGAGGGGACGGTTCCAGCAGGTGAACTGGTTTGTTTCCCAGCACCCGGTTATCTGTGAAGCCAAGGAGGAGGGAGCAGGAGCAGCTCCTGATGGGAAGCGGGGGTGTTTCCCCGGAGCTGGGCTCCCTGTGCTGTCAGGCAACCATTAGCTCAGCAAAGCCTTGCGCTGCGGGTTTGCCTCTAATGACGGGCCGGCCTCGCTGCTTCGTGCCTGCTGCCTCTCATCTGGGAAACGGGAATCGCCGGGGCGGGCTGGGAGCTGTGTGTGAGCCAGGTGTGGTCGGGGAGATTTGGCAAAGGCTCCTGGATGTCTCAGGGCCGGTTTCCTGGGGCTGGATGAAGCCCGGCAGGAGGCACGGTAAACGCTGGTGAGGGATGCAGCATGGGGGGGTGATCAGAGCCCCGTCTGGCCGTGTTCAGCGATGCCCTGCCATCGTGTGTTCGTGCAAGCATTGACCCAGTCAGGGCTGGTCCGTGGGGGTCCACGTGTGAGCCTCACTCAGCAGATGCAGGGCTGAGTTTGGGTTCCTGGGGCTCCTGGAGGAGATTATCTTGGAAGAGCCTGTGCTTTGGGGAGGTACCCGAAACCTGCAGGAGACAATTAGATCTTAGGGAAGTCAGTTTTGTGTCTTCCATCCCATCAACCTTCAAATCGGCACCAAATTTGGGAATTGCCGTCCGCATCGGAATGGCGAGGGCTGGAAATCTCTCCTGCTCTCTCATTTAGGAGGACGAGGCACAACAACAGGCGCATTAATAGCCAGATTGATGCTGACGTGAAATGGCAGAAGAGCACATCTATGCAGAGCTGGGAATGTCCATTCACACATGCACGCTCATAACTGCTCCGGGCAGCCGAGCACTGCTGTCACGGTCTTGGGGGCTTTGCACAGAAAGTAGAGATTTTAACTAGGTCTGATCTTTGGGAGATGCCCTCAGGACTCCTGACGGAAGGAGGAGGCTGCCCGGCATTACGCTGTGATGGCTGAGACTTGACAGGGCAGATCTATGCAGAACAATGAAAGGGAAAAGGGGACTTGGAGATTCGGTGCCGTTACAAATTCACCTGCCTTGCTCTGGTGTGATGTGCTGTGCTATGGGGAGCTGAGCGGCGGGCAGGGGGGACTGGGTCCGGCTAACACAGCGCCATGAAGAATCGCATGGGATTATCCAGTAGCAAGAGATCCATGGGGCAGGTCCAGCCCCTCACCTCCACGCATCCCCTTCCTACCAGAGAGGGGTCAGGGATGGACGGGTGAGCCCCCAAACAGCAAACTCTGCATCCTCCTTTGGTCTGCATCATTGCTTCCTTCACCCAGCAGCCTCTCCCAAGTGCCCCATAGCCCTCACTCCCATGCAGCCCCATGCAGACTTGAACGTGAGGGTAAATATTGGGATTTCCCTGTTAAAACTGCAGATTGGGTCAAGGCGAGAGAAAGGGCAAAGAGAAAAAGGAAAGAGAGCTCCGGGCACCACAGCCCCGCTCCCTGTGCCGCTCTGCCTCTCTCCGTATTAAGGCAGATCTTGCAGTTTTAACAGGAAAAAACCCCACCATGTTTTGATTCAAGGTGCGTGCAAAGTTCCCCGTGGTTTGTATGGGTGCGTGGCTTGGTGGCTGCAAACTTTGAGTCACTAATGAGGAGATTTGTGCCCGGTGGTGTGGACGTGGCTGCCGTCACTCGCGGCCAGTTGTGTTCTTTTCCTGTGGTCTCTGTGCAGAGGCACAGCTGGATTTGGTGTGAGCAAAGGGCAGGGAGCGGCGCCTCCGTGCCGGGAACACGAGCAGGGAAAATGGCAAAAACCCTGCGCAGTGTTTGCTCTTCTCACTTTATTTCAGCTTCAGGAAAAAGTGGGTGGGCCAGCTTGAAACCACCCAGAAAACCTGTGGCGCTTCACAGAGCATATGTTTCCTTGGAGGAGAAGCGGGCTGGCTTGCACGCCAGCTCGCCGTGTTTGTTTTCCGAGCGAGGACGCTGATGGTTCACTCGCGCGGGGAGCGGTTCCTAGCGCGCGGAAGCGTGTGAGTTTTAGGAGCCGAGTTAGGAAAACAAAGACCATATGTGTGCTGCGTGCTTGGCTTGGCGGACGAGTGAACCGGGCTGCACGGGGAGCCAAAAGCTGAGGGGAGGGCTGGAGGCTGGGTCTGTGGCTGAGCGGGGCCCTGGGAGAGGGTTCCCCGTGCGCCTCTGGGGCTCAGGGCAAGGACGGTTGTGAATAACGTGAAATTCCCCAAATGCCTGCTCCAGGGGATGTCACTGAGCTGCTGCTGCTGCAAAAGCAGTGCAATAATAGGAAATGTTAAAAAA